AAAAAAAAAAAAAAAAAAAAAAAAAAAAAAAAAAGAAGAAGAAAAAGAAAAAGCCACTTGTATTCACTACTCTCCCAAGATTTTTGAGTAAACTCACCTACTCTCTGCCATTGTCATTTACTAGTTCGGAATGACTCAACACTATGAATTTTAGACATTTGGATCTCCTTTTTCCTTTTTGATTTTTCAACAGCCTTTGTTTTCATGAAAAATGGTTATTACATAAATACTGCAATTGCATGTTGGAAAGTGTTTAGATTAAATAATTTTTTATTTAGAGTCAAATAAAAATGCGAATAGTGTTTTGGAAAAATGAACACAAATTTCAGTAAATATCAGTACTTCCCATGGTACAGAAAATAGAAACAGTGATCACCGAGAATAGTGAATATTTACCATCAAATAAGTACCCTACACACTATTTCTGTCCCATGTAAAGTGAAAAATGTATCTTTATTTTCTTACCTTAGGAGTCAAATCAACATTTATTTTAAGAGTCAAATCGAAAGTGAGTGAAATTGGTAAATTACACCAAGCTTGCGGGTTTTTATACATCTATGAATGCATGGTATGATGGTAATATACATCCTACAGTGATGATTGATGACTATATATTACGTAATACGTAGTTCAACCTCAGCAAAGTTGAGAGTATTATTTAGAAATCTTTCATGGGGCATAATATTGAAAAATCATTCATGGGGCACGTCTCCATCAACCACAATAAATGCACGGGTGCCGGAGATTTCTAGGTCAAATGTTTGATATTAATGCTCAAGCGGGATCACTAATTTTATTGAATGATAAAGAAATGTGTCTCACATTAACTAAGCTTTCGGAATATAAATACTCCTTTAGAATAAGCATAGCATAGATGTAATTACTCAAAGCTAATTAGTTATTTATGTACAATCCAGCTCAAGCTTATGATCAACAAGAAGCAAGGATTGAGTTATGAGAGAGTGTACATACATAATTCAAGTCCTGAGTTTTAAAGCTATTTTAGAAAATTCAGGCATTATTGCATGAAGTAGTAGTAAATATGGAGTAAATGCACCTGCAAACATCAACTAACCCGCACTCTCCTCCACCTGCTAATATTTACTCCACTCTGTGAACCATTTTATATATTGTTCCCTCTCCACTCCCCTCTCCAAACTCAAACCCTCCTTCTCCTCTTTCAAGTGTTCTAAGCAGTCAGTGACAATGGAGAAGAAAAGACACAATCCAACTTTTCTCGCTATGTTCGCATTGCTAGCTGGTGTGCTTTCTCAAAACCTTGTCATTCCTGTAATATCTACCACCATTGAGGACCAGAAGAACTACTACTCTCCAGACCCACATGCAGGAACTCCTCCCACAGGTTCATCAAATTCTCTGTGTAATTTTCTGACTGCACTATATACATTGTACTTATTGTTTATGGCTACAGTAGGCCTTTTACTTTCAAATTTCAACTATGAAGGATCAGATGCTCATACAGAACCTATTTTGATATTTAACTTTCTAATGTAATAGTATACATTGATTTTACTTCTTGAAGGTTCTAGCTGCCCTCCATCTCATGGCTCTGGAGGTGGTGGCCACTCTCATCATCATCATCATCATGGAACTCCATCACACGGAGGAGGTGGAAGTTACAATCCAACCCCATCAACTCCCCCAGGCGGTGGAGGCTATGACCCAACCCCATCACCACCCTCAGGTGGTGGATATTACAATCCAACCCCATCAACTCCCCCAGGTGGTGGAAGCTATGATCCAACCCCATCGCCACCTTCAGGTGGTGGAAGCTACAATCCAACCCCATCAACTCCCCCAGGGGGTGGAAGCTATGATCCAACCCCATCACCACCTGAAGGAGGTGGAAGTTACAATCCAACCCCATCCTCTCCCCCAGGTGGTGGAAGCTATGATCCAACCCCATCACCACCTGAAGGAGGTGGAAGTTACAATCCAACCCCATCCTCTCCCCCAGGTGGTGGAAGCTATGATCCAACCCCATCACCACCTGAAGGAGGTGGAAGTTACAATCCAACCCCATCCTCTCCCCCAGGTGGTGGAAGCTATGATCCAACCCCATCACCACCCTCAGGTGGTGGAAGTTACAATCCAACCCCATCACCACCTGAAGGTAGCAACTGTGGATCACCACCACATGACCCCTATACTCCAACACCCTCAACCCCAACAACCCCATCAACACCATCGACACCATCGACACCATACTATAACTCACCACCAACTTATGGAGGTAATAGCCCCCCAACACCAATCACTGTGAGCCCACCTTCAACCCCAATTGACCCAGGAACCCCCACTATCCCCTCCACACCCCCTTACCTTCCTTCCCCAACTCCCTTCACTGGTACATGCAAGTAAGTTCCTTTCACTACATTGGACTGTAAATTATCTTGTGATATACTTCCACACTGTTAACTGTTAAGTAACCTATGGGATCTTGTCCTCTAACTCGCAGCTACTGGAGCACTCACCCAGGAATCATCTGGGGATTGCTAGGCTGGTGGGGAACCTTAGGTCATGCATTTGGTGCCTCTAATGTGCCAGGGTTTGGTGCCAGTCTCAGCTTGCCACAAGCACTTTCCAACACTAGAACTGATGGATTAGGAGCACTCTACAGAGAAGGGACAGCTTCCTTTCTTAACTCCTTGGTGAACAACAGGTTCCCTTACACAACCCAGCAAGTCAGAGACAGATTTGTAGCATCTCTTAGCTCAGATAAGGCTGCAGCAGCACAAGCCAACCTCTTCAAGATGGCCAATGAGGGGCGAATGAAGCCTCGAGCATAATATAACTAATTTGGTTTGTGTCACTTTATTTAGCTAAGAGTATTATATCTAAGCCTTCTAAGATTAAGAGTGTGTTATTTAGGTCTTTATCATGTGTAAGATGGATATCGTTTTACTTTACAAGTTCATGTTAGCCTTTATGGTTTCTTATTTTTGAATAAAGTTAATATATTGTTACATCCATAGTTCAAGATCTTCATCCAAAAAGTATGACCTTTTTTGTATTATGTATGAAAAAGTTAATTTTTATTAAGATAAACTTTTTTTCATGATATGACAATCGCATCAACTCCACTAATATGGAAGACAAAATCAGAATCTGCGATATTATTCATCAAATAAAAATTGAGGATTGTCATGAGCGCAGCACAAAACGAGCACCACTAAAGTGGTGCATCACCCTCTCATTAATGAAGTTTCACCTAATAAGGTTGTACATCATCTATCAAAAGAAATTGATTATCCATAAAGTGTAATCTAGAAATAGGCCTAGTCTAGAAATGCTGATTGTCATGCAACATGAATTGCACTCAAGCGATGAGAATGATTTAGGGAGTATTGCAAACATGAGCAAGGTCCACACTGTAAAGTGTAAAGTTGTCTAGAATTGTTTCCTAGTGAAATGCAAGGGAATGGTTTTGCTGACAATATATATATGTATATATAAACAAAGACAAAAGATGGCCAAGATGCTAGCAATGGTAACCCTATGTGAATGAATTGGGAATGATGAGCCATAGTGGCAGAGGAAGGATTGAAGCGCCATGTGAGCTCCAATTAATGCCTTTTTAAGTACCTCAACGGGAAGTGTACAAGGGTGTGCTATGGTCCAGAACAATTATACGGGTAGGTAAAGACTATAAAAGGAGGGTAGTCTAGTGTAATGTAAAAAAATTCACTATATCTTTAAAAAACACAAACAAAAACCAAAACACATCTTTAACTTCCCAAATATTTGAGCAAGATAATAAACTGATATCTTAAAGTTCTCCACTGTAGATTAGCTGACAAAAAGTGGTTCGTGCATTCACTTAAGTAGCTAGAATGGTATATTGCTTCACTGTGTATTCACTAATCACTAGTGGTAAGGAATATAACAAAAAATACGGATCCATTTCTTTGTTTTTTTATAATTCAAAAAATCATTAGACAAGTTCTTTTGAAGAAAAAAAAAAAAGTTAACAAAAAGTTGGGTTGTTTTTTATTTCACGAGTAAAAAGTAATAAATCCTAAAAGAAAAATTATATATAATAGAAAATTATATGACGAGCATTTTTTTTAAGTCTTACTAAATGAACCCAAAATTTTTAAGAATCCCAATGTGCATATAATTTTGAAGTTCCAGAAGCTTTTAAACGTTTAAGATGACAAACATGGAATCTGAATTCATCCATATGTCCAAGCCCAAGTAATCAAATTGAGACCCCCACCTAGGATTGGAAAGGAGGGGAACACTTAAATCGTGTATTCCTAACAAGGATGGTAAGATCTCACTTAAAATACAATGTTTTCACCCCACATCACTGCCATTTTCAGGAGCATTAGTGCGCTTAGAATCTCCACTTGCAGGGACAACAACAGCACTAGATAATAACAAGAATTTGGATGCTTACTGATAGAAAGGAAGAAAGTGTCCATTCATAGGTCTAGTATTAGAAGTGAATGGAATTACAAGAATTACATGTTTATTGTTCCCATTATTTCAAACACATTAAACCTTAGAATTAATAGCAAAAAGTATAATTTCATAAGTTGTTTCATCCATTCCTACCAACCTTCCACTCTTCTGTCAATTTGGAGGGAAAGAAGAGAGGAAAGAGAGAGGTATGGAGTGGAAAAGAGTCTGCCTGATTCCATTTCTTTTGTTTATCCTTTTTAAACATTCAAACAATAGCAACCTTTACTATCTCATATTATTTTTCTCCTTTAAACCCTCCACCATCAATCCATGCAAAGGGTAAAAAGCCAAGGAAAATTCTCAGCATTTTAATTAAAATAGTCATAATTCTCGACCTACAAACCACTAATCTAAAATTGAATAGATGAAATTATAAGCCCTCCTGTAAAACATGCTTCAATTATATTCATCTCCATTCTTATTTAAAAATTATGTTGGCCTTTCTTATCTGACAAATATTTCCACATTTTTTTCATCAAATATAGATGTTAACTTGGGTATCATAGGGAAAATAAGTCTAGTAGTCAAGCTTGCAGGGTCAGGCTCATAATTTGACAGCCATATTGCACAAGGGCATTGAAAAACACAAGTCCACCAGGGTATTCAAATTTCAGATTAAACGAGGATTGTGCTTCAAATCTCAAGAAAGAAAAAATATGGTAGAAAGATTATAATTTTAACAAACCTAGGATAACATGATACTGCTTGCCAAAGCACATATGGTATTGGTGCAAAGGTTCAGATGCATACCTTTTAAATAGATAACTTTGACAGTAACACCCAATTAAGAAATTCCAGCCCTTGAGACTTGGTCTCTGATTAACAATATAGTTTGTACATGAGATTCAATGGATCTCTAATCGAATTTCAGGAAAATTGAGATGGATGGGTTGGTAATGTACAAGTGGTTTCAATGCACGTAAGGTGTGATCAACTCATGTGAGATTCAAACCATTTAAAAATTTGGTCAGAATGCACGCTAGTCATCTCATGATAAGCAAATGCAAGGTTTAGCTCCTCTTGGATATGAGGAACCAGACGCTTATCCAGCACAAGAGTTTTCTTCTCCTCAAGAGCCTTTTTCCATTTGATTTTTCGCCCATCTTTCTTCATATAACCATTTTGATCAACGAAGCCCTTTTCCCGAAAGAACTCAAACAACTTTCTAGAAAGAACCTGATCTAGACCTGGAACTCTATCAGCTAAAGTATTTGCTGACAAAGGGAACTCCATACATTCAACAACAGCAACATCAATCCCCTTATCTTTCAAAATCTCCACATACTCATCGATTTTCTGCTGCCTGTAAAGATCTTTGGGCATGTGAACAAAAAGGGTAGGCGGGTAGTCCCCTTTAATATCCATGTCCCCAAACATCCCCTCAGCAATCATGAGCACAGTGCTACTAAACTTGATAGTAGTAGCAAGCACAGACACAAAATACCCTCCAGAAGAAGCACCCAAAGCCACAAGGGGAAGCTTTCCAAGTTTCCTTCTACCAATCCACCACTCTAGAATGTCTTTAACAGCTATCACTTCTGTACCAAATGTCCAACATCTCTGAGCACTAGAAATAGTAATAACACCAAAACCTTGGGCAAGGGCATGGAGCACAAGCAAGCGTTCTTCAGGCAAACCAATGCAATTAGGGCATTCAAGGGACTTGTCCCAAAAGTTGATGGCCCTACCGTTGCATCCATGAGCCAGAAAGAGAACACCTTTAGGTGATTCAGGCACTTGCCATATCAAATCAGTTCCATTTCGGAACTCTCTAGTTGGATGCAATTGCACCACCGGATCAAAGCTATTCCACTTTTGTTTAGGAACTTCATAAGCTAAACTGTGATTCTCACCATTACTATCATTATAAAATACTAAACAGAAAACCACTAACATTAGCATCAATGCAACAAACATGAGAAACACAGAGACACGGCAATTCTGAGCGCCACCACTCCATGGCTTTGGTTTGTATCCACGCTTCAACATGCCGCAAAAAGGGTTGATAGCAATGATAAAAAAAGATCGAAATTTTACCAAAATTTCTTGAGAGGAGATTGGTAAATCATGAAGGGTCGATAGCGGAAAATCAATTGCATCATTCAGATCAGAGTGAACTTAGCTACGGTGTTGAAAACATACTCACATGGAATCATGCGGCGAAACTCAAATTCGACACGTCGTAAGTGTTGAATCGATTGAGCGAATCACAGAATCATTGAAATGATGATTTGCGCTATGTCGGTTACTGGATTCTTGTCATTTTCCCGAGAAAATCACACGACATCAGTTTTGGGTGGGCTTTAGCGCATATTGGGCCTGTTACTGGATCGAAACCAAATAGCCCTACATCTCAATTTTGGGTTTTTTTTTTGGCTCATGATATATACACTTCCTTTTTTTTTTAATAAGTACACCTCCTTTATTATTTTTTTAAAAAAATTATAAAATATTATAGTTTTTTTTTATTTTTAATTTTACACTTTTAACTTTTAATTTATTATTTTCTTCTCCTTTTTCACAAACTTTTTTTTTCTTTTAATTTTTACATGTTACCAAAATAGGTGAGGTGAAAGAAAGGTAAGGGAGTGCATGTAAAAATTGAAAAAAAAAGAAAAAAAATGTAAAAAAAAGTATTAAATTAAATGTTGTGGATATAAAATTAAAAAATACAAAATACAAAATACAAAATAATTTTTTTAAAAAAAAATTTATTTTTTAAAAAGGAGGTTTACTTATAAAAAAAAAAAAGGAAGTGTATATATCATGAACCTTTTTGTTTTTCTTCTTGCCATTCCTTTATGTTTTTGTATTTTTTTTAAATAATTAATTTCTTGAACGTTATTTTGGTGACACGTAAATGTTATATATATTTGGACTTAAGTTTATAATACAGTTAATACTTAATACATTCGAAAAACTAAATTTTGCGAAAGAAAAGTGAGAGAGTAACATTGTTTGAATAACGGAATAAGGAAAGAAATAAAGAAGAATGATAAGAATGAATTTAAAGAAAAAAAATTGTGTTATTTAGATTGATAGAGTCCGAAGACAAAAATATTTATCGTGTATAAATGTTATATAAAAAAAATCATACTTTTTGATCAAGGTCAGGATCAAGCAATCAAGCTAACACAAGAATAAATATTAATTTCACATCTAAAGGAAATGAAATCGTGGTAACAATCGGTAATCTATTTGTTTCAATGATTAAAAATTTATTCTTGAAATTTTAAAATTGGAAATGTAATATTTATTTTGAGTTTTGAAAAATTATTTATCAGTATTGTTCATACTTATAAAAACAGCGGTAATACCATGATTTACTTTATTTCTATTCCTGTGAGAATTGAGAAGAAAGTTATATTTCCCTAAAAATGTGAAAATTTATCTGTTAATATAATTATAACTTCAATTTTAACTCTTATTTTTTTTAAAGTATTAAAATCTAATAAGATACATACTTAAATATTTTCGGGAATGACATTCTAGATTATATAAATTATAGATTATAATATCTTCCAAAAATATGATTCCTGGTAATGTTATATTATATATTGACAGTTGAAACAAATGGTCAAGAGAGAGAGAAAGAAAAATTAATGCAGAATTATTATTTTTGTCGGTAGAATAATGACAAAATAATTTAGTTATATTTTGAAACAAAATATGGAATGAGTGACTTTTTTTGTTCGTTCCTGGAGTATCCATCTTCGACAGTAGTGACTAATCTCCTCGCTACGTTGGAGGCACTTCAAAAGGTGAGATAGCTGGACTCAAAATTTAACGCGACTGCATATAGATTTATGAAAAGCATGCTTATTAATTTAATTGATAGGATTTGTGGAGGCACATGGCGTGAAACATGGCATCTTGGGCCCCAACTCTCATCTTGGGCTAACATAGCAGGTAGCTTTACTATGTAGTGGGCCCACTTGGACGTTGCATGTTCTCTCTTCTCTAACATAACCAACAAACTTCAATCATGTGCATGCTATTGCTATTGCTATTGCCACTTTCTTCTCTCTTCCACAAATTTAGCTTTTGACTTTATGCCCTCCATCACATACATCCTTTTTTATCATGCCTATTTGTGGTATGAATTCATTCGATTTAAATAATAAATAAATAAATATTATTTTACTTGAATAAATTATGAAATATAAATTAAATCAAATTAATTTTTTTGTAGTTTAGTTTGCGATTTTGAATAATTATTATTTAAAATTAATTAAAAATACATAATCTTATATTATTTATTTAATAAAAAGTAAAATTAAAAATATGTAAATACTAAATATTATGATTATTTAATGTATTTAATATTAATTTTTAACTTTTTATTTTAGTAAAAGTATTTATTTAATATAATTTTAATTATCATATTAATTATTTTTCTATAAATATTTATTGATTCAACTAGTATTGCAATTAATCTTCAAGTCTCAAGATCTTGAATTCAAGTTTTGGATTTAATGAGAAAAAGATGAAAGAGATAACCTTACTGCAAAATAAATATATACTCATGTCAATATCATAGTACTAATTAATAT